GGGGCTGTCCCGCCCCAGGTGCAGGACCCTGCCCTTGCCCTGGTTGAACTCCCTCAGGTTGAAGCCCCGAGGCTGAGTGCAGAAGCACGGCCTGGAGCTCCCGTGGTCCTCGGGGAGGGCCGGGCCCCTCCTGCTCTGCTGCCCCGCTCTGCCTCTTCCGCAGGGTTACGCAGACCGCAGAACCTGTCGGCGTTCAGGCGAGAGGTGAACGACTCCATGAAGAACTCGACCTACGGCGTGAACAGCAACGACATGATGAGCTGACGTCTCCCGCCTCCGCCTGGACCGCGCAGCGTCTCTTTGGCCTGGCCCAGAGGGGTTACCGTTTCCGATGGAAAGAAAAGAGGGCATTTCTAAATCCCTGCTCTTCCCCAGGGCTGGACTGCGGCGCTCGCTTTGGGCCGTACTCCACGTCCCGAGGGAGGAGGGAACAGGAGGGGTTGTTGAGCTCACCGGGGCAGGGTGCTTCTGTTTCCCTGGGAGGGGGTGGAAGGGCGTAAGCCCGGTGCAAGAATCCAGCGTCTCCCTACCCGAATGTCTGCGTGGAACGCCAGCGCTCTGCCGCAGCCTGCCTTGTATAAACATGTACATTTTTTCATAACATTTTGAACAAGGTTTATATTGACTCAAGTTTAAAAAAAAAAAAAAAAAAAGGCAAAAAAAAAAAAAAAAAAAATGATTGAAATTTTTACAGAGTCCTGGTGCACCGGTGCTGGCGTGAGGGTTGCGTATGCGAGTGAGGAAAGCGTGTCCTGCAGGCCTGAAGCTTTACTGGGCGAGGGGTGGGTGTGTGAAAGCGCAGAGATATATTTAGTGACAGGTGTAGAGAGAAGGAAAAAAAAATCAACAAAAAAACCGAAAAAAAACAACAAAAAAACAGGCATTGTAAAATTCCAAATGTATATTTTTTCTTATTAAGCCCCTTGAAATCAAAACTTCCCGTTGCCGTCTTGCCCTTGTTATTAGGAACTCGAAGCCATGCCGCGTGACCTCTCATTCGTGCTTGCTCGTGGGTGTCTCTCCCGTCCCCGGTGTAGCAGTAGGTGCTGTCCCCTCGTCAGCCCGCTCCTCGCAGGGCCCCCTCCTCACCCTGCCCCTCACCTTTTCTTCCCCCCCCCCACCTCGCCCCGGTCGGCGGCGGGCGGGGGACACCCGG